ATGGCTTTGGCAGGCCTTGCCCTTCTCCCCAATTCCCTCTGCCTTGCTAAACTGTTACATTTCATTCCTAAAGCTAGCCACTAAGGTCTATTCCCTTATTTGACTATTAAGGTCCAGCTATCAAAGTATTAAAGTCCAGCAATAAAAATCCCCCTTTGGCTCACCTAATTAACGAGCCCAGTTAAAAATTAAACACCTCATTCTAACACTGGGTTTCTCCTTGTACCTTTATAAACTGCCATTTTCTTATGTGCCACATCTGTCTCCTCTCTATTCAGAGGCAGTCCTTTGTCCCCTGGGACAAATACCTCTCTCCCTTCTCCCTTGCCCCCTTTTCCTCCTCTCCTTTGTTCCCTTCTCCTTCTCCCTCATCTTCTACTTCCTGTCTTATCTCTGCCCACTGTCTCTCTGGGGCAAATAACTCTCCTTTGACTTGGTCTGAATACTTGGTCTTGGGGGTCCTGAGCCAATACTTTTCCTTTCAGTTTTGAGATAGGGTCTTATGTAGCTTAGGCTGGCCTTGAACTTGCTTTACAACTGAGGCTGATAAGGAATTCATGATCAGTTTACATCTTTATGCCTAATCTCTCCAGTGTTAGGATTAAGACATGCACTACCATGCCTAGCTATATGTTAATCCCAGAGATGGGAAGACAAAAACCACGGACCTAAATCATCACAGCCAAATTAATTAAAGCAAGATTTTTTAATTTGTGTACAGGGGCTGCCTCCCCCTAAGGCAGGGTTCTAGAGGTCAGCATTGGATGTGAGGAATACAAGGTTTTTATAAAGCTCAAGGGTAGTGGGTTTCCAAATGGGGGATTTGACAGGCAAAGTAGTCAGGGCTACAGGAGCAGAACACAAGCATAGCAAGTTAGGCCTAAAGACCTCTGAAACAAAGGCATGGTCGCCAAGTGGGTGTAACAGCATGTAGTCATAACAAGGCTGTCACAGGTGGTCGGATAACCTTTTGAAACAATGATACCATGCAAGATGGTTATGGATGTTTTGAAACAAAGATATGGTTGTCATTTCCTGGAACAGACAGTACAGAACCATTTGTAGTTAAGGTCACATAGCTTAATCCTTGAGAAACAGGTTTAATCACAAATAAAAATGAGCCTTCTTTGTCTTTGCTATAAGATGGCCTTTGGGCCCAAGATGGAGGCAGGCTGGCTCTGCCCTGTACTGTTCCTTTCTTAACAATCTTTCTAAATACTCATGCTTACTCGGATCACGTACTATCTCTTAATTCTTTTTGATAAATTCACCCATGGGGTGGTGGGAAGGGTCTGGGTAGGAAGGGGGAAGGAAAAAAAAAAGCAAAGCAAAACAAAACAAAACAAGCAAAACCCCAACAAAAACAGATGGGGGTGGTGGTGAACACCTTTAATGCCAGCACTTGGGAGGTAGAGGCAGGTGGATCTCTGAGATCAAAGCCAGCCTGGTCTGCCGAGGGAGTTCCAGGACAGCCAGGACTACACGGAGAAAACCTGTCTTGAGAAACAAACACAAACAAACAACCCCCACCTCCCCCCAAAAAACCCCAACAAAATCCAAAACGTCACTGACCTTGCTCTCCTGTGACTTGTCCTGGAACTCGTTTCTGTACCTGGCTTTACCTGACAGAAGTCCCTAAGTGGTGACCACCTCAGGTTACTCGGAGAGAGGGGCACTTGGTGCTTCTTGCTGACCTGTAACTCCGATGGACTTTAAGCTCACCTCACATTGAAAATGAACCCTTGTAATTCACTTCTTGCGTCTTCTTACAATTTTCAGAAAACGAGGGTGGTTTCACAGTAATAGGCCAGGCTCTCTGATTCTCAGGCAGGAGGCAGGGCGGAGGTGAAGAGCAGGATGTGCCCACCAATTTCCATTTTGATGTGTACCCACTTTCCATGTGAGAAGTCCTAGACTTGGCAGTCGGTCAGCTGAGAATCACCGATGATGTCTGGGCAGGGAGTCTGTCCTGTCCGAGAGAGGGAGGGGCTGCTTCAGGTATGGTGGCCTGAGCAGCAGCCGAGATTGTAACACTACTTACTTACTTTCTTTTTTTTTTCTTTAATCAACCCCTTTTTTAACTTTTGAAAAATTTTTATTAAAAAAAGAGTGAAAGAAACACAAAACAGACTTTTTTTTTCAGTTAAGTATGTGGCCTGTTGCATTTTCCAGTCTGTTCAATGCTTCAAAGGTCAAGGATGCCTCTCTTTGAATTGTACACTGGCCTGAAGCATCCTGGCTTTTGGCAGGCAGATAGGAGACTCAACAGTAACAACAAAATAATCAAAATAGGAACAAAGCACTAAATGCAGGGTGCATCTATAAACATTATACATTTGAAAATTACAATATCAAAAAAGTGATACAGTTTACAGGTGAAATGAAACTCTCTGAAACTGGCCTGCCACAAGTTTCTGGACCTGGACTGATACAATAAGTTATTATATATATTCTTATACATATCCTGGTCCTGGGCCAGATGAACCAGAACATAGTTTGCCTGGGAAGACACCATCTTACCAGTGAATTCTAAGCCACTCGTTGCCGTAGAAACACTTACGGTGCTTCTGAGATAAATTAGCCCTGGGCTGGCACCCAGGGAGATAATGTCTTTAATGAGCACATTTTAGGTTCCAAAACACATTTAGCCGGCCAGTTCTTTGCTGGATAAGGTTCTTATCTTCTCTCTATAGAAACTGAGACTTTCCAGTTGATACCTCACCCCTTCCTGCTTCTGCAGGAACTGACTGACTGCCTTCTGTAACGTTTGCAATTGCATACACAAAGCACGTGGACGGCCACTCTCTGGAAGCCATCTTATGACAATGTGTCTGCAGCTTCCCCAAATTTCTAAAGAGGTACCTAAGGAAATTAAGTATCCAGGGTTTTCCTAGTTCTCCTTTTCCTTTTAGATACATAACTGAACACAAGATCCTCAACATAAAACTTAAGGAAACAAAGCAAGACCACAAGATTAGCCAAGTTGGCCCAAACACCGTGAATATCATGGTCTTTTAGCTCTGTGTTAGTCTGTGGTCTGTGTTCGTAACAAGTATTGGTTTCTCATGGTTGTTTATGTGCTATTCTGTCTGTTGGTTTAGCTGTCAACCTGTGCCAATGAGTTGGCATTCTTGTTTTGTGTGTGAGACTGTAATATGGAGGTTTTTCTCTCTTTCTTCTTTCCTCTCAGCCTAACTACTTGGTTCCCTGCCCTTCTGTGACTCTCTAAGAAAACTGGCTATTTGCTGGGTGTGGTGGTGCATGTCTTTAATCCCATCGCTAGCAGGTAGATTTCTGAGTTTGAGGCCAGGCTAGTCTACAGAGTGAGTTCCAGGACCGCTTCAGAGCTACACAGCCAGAGAAACCCTGTATTGAAAAAAAGAAAGGAAGGAAGAAAGAAAGAAAAGGAAAACTTGCTAGTCAATGTTGATCCAATCCTAGCTAAATCTGGACATACAAGGATTGGGACCAAGAATTTAGAAGGCAGAGGCAGGAGCATCACAAGGTAAAGGTCATCCTCAGTTACCTAGTGACTTTTGAGGTCACCCTGGGCTGTGTGAGACCGCGTGTCAAGCAGCAGTCACCTCAGCCACAGAATGAGACAGCCATAGCAAAAAGCTTTAGAGGAAAAATTAAGGTGACAGAGAAAGGCAGAGCAGTTCCTCGTACTGGGAGCCAGTTTGCATTTCTCTCTGGCTGAGTCAGAAATGCAACCAACACAACTAACACTGAGCTCAGAGATGATGCATGTTTTCTGCAAGAACTTTCAACCATGGCTGTTCACAAGAGAAAAGGAACTGCGCTCCCTCAGGGCCTTGACCATGGCTGCATCACCATTCCTTTCTTGTCTCTAACAATGTTTCTCTTATAGAATCACTTTAAAATTGCATTTATAGAGGAGATTCTTCAAGAAAAGTGAAGCAGCTGATGGTTAAACTTGAATTTCACCTTGCTTAGTCTTTAAATCTTGTGAGTTACAGCCTTTGAGCAGAGTAACCTGAGAAGATGTTATGATTCTATAACCATGCGCCAGCCATTGCTGAGACAACCGAGAGGGGTCGGCTCTCTCTTGAGAAGCTTGTACCCATCGTGTCTTATATGCAAATTTTCTCTTGGTTACCCTTTCCCTCCTTTCTTTCCCCCTCCTTCTCTTTCTCTCTCTCCATGTTTAAATCTAGAAATGTGCACTGTCCCCTATTAACTTTTTTTTTTAAATATTTATTTTTATTTTATGTGCATTGATTTACCTGAATGTCTGTGTGAGGGTGTTGGATCCCCTGGAACGGAAGGTACAGACAGTTGTGAGCCACCATGTGGGTGCTGGGAATTGAACCTGGGTCCTCTAGAAGAACAGCCCGTACTCTTAAACACTGAGCCATCTGTTCAACTCCCCTGCCCCACCATTAACTTCTTAATAAGCTAGCTAGCTTGTGTCACTTTGTCTTGTCCTGAAAGTAGTCAAGGACCTGGCTTTATCTGAATGGAGGTCCCTAACTCCTCAGGCTACTGGCAACAGTGCTGGGCTTCATCTGTCAACTACTGTGGACACTATCAGAATGGTTAAACTAAGAAACAGTGACATTGAAAAATCCTGGAAGGATGCTGGTGGACCAGACCGCATATCCATGGCTACTGGGAATGTAAAATGGTTTTGTCAAGTGTGGCAAAGAATTAGACACTTCTGGAAAAATTAGGCAGGTAGTCACATACCACATAGCAAATTGTACTCTAGGCATCTATCCTAGAGAAAAATAAATCCATGCAGAAAATGACATCATTTCCAATAGTAGTTTTATTTGTAATCAATAAAAAATTAAAATAACTCAAGAGATGGCTAAACAAATACATTAGTCCTATGGAATACTACTCAGCAATAAAAAGGAACAAACTATTGATTTTACTCAACAATCATAATAACCCTCTGGAGATTTATACTAGTGTTTGTGATGGAGCTAATATCCACTTACATAACACGTTGGCACACAAAAAAAACACAAATCTAGCAGCAAAGGGAATAAAAGTTTATTCTGGAGCCAAATTTGAGTGACCATGGCACAGGAAACACAGAGCTAAGTTACCCCAGGTCCCATGTTCCCACACAAAAACAGTTTCATAGTCGCAGAACCAACAAAGCCATAAGTCAAGGCAATTTTAAAATACTGTGTTGAGTACGTCAGAGAAGTGGTTAAAGCAAGATGGGGGAATCTCTCCTATAGGTCTCAGATTCTATCTGATGACAATCTCAGCTTTTGGGTTGGTGGAAGCTAGTGGTCTCAAGTTAATATGTTCCCAAGGTTTTATCTGTCAATGCCAGGACTTACAGTCCTACATAGAGGTAGGCAAGGAAATGATTATTGGGGGGGGGGGGGCTAAAGTTAGCCCAAATAAGGTATAATTGGGCTCTGGACCTGCAGCATGTCTGCCTCTCCACATCACTGCAGTTCCAATCTGTTAGACGGTCCCTGCAGCATCTTTCTAGGAAATCTTGTTCACAGACATGTTTGAATGACAAAATTATAGATATGGAAATCAGATGGATGGGCGTCAAGACTTAGGGAAGGAGTGAAGGAGCAAGACCTATGGGGCATTCTTCTGTGAGGAGATGTGCTATGCTGGGACTGAAATTTGTACAATAGTTTTGTAAAAACGTTGTCCTGGGAACATAAGATGTTTCCAGCATCTTTATTTTTCTTATAACTGAACACATGAGTCTATAAAGGTCTCTAAATAATGATGAAAAATCTAAATTAATGAGATTATTCATTTTAGCCAAATCTAAATAGTGACTAGATTTTAGAAAGTTTCCAAATTTGATGATAATTTTATGTAATAACTTATCTTTGCTTCTAGGAGATACACAGTGAATTATTCAGAACTGAAGAATCCTGACTGCAATTCACCACTAAATAGTCCGCTAAAAAGAAAAAATATATATATATAGATTTATGTGTTGTGGTGTGTTTGGTATGTGTTATGTTCAAGGCTGATAAACAATTAGATAGTTGTACACAAAATAATGCTGAGTGAATATCACATTGGAATCATTTTAATATTTCTGTTTTCCCTTATGTGTAAAATCTGTTTTCTAAAATAAGACATTTAGTAATAAGTTTGAAGGGCCCTCCAGTGAGGCAATACATTGTCAGAGGACAGAGAATGACTGGGCAGGTAATAGACACTTTCCTTTCTTTGTAGTCTCTGTTACTTGGTCTTGTGAGCCTTCAGCTGGGAAAGTGAAACTTAACATTCTATGTGCCTGCTTCAAGCCAGCACCACCCTCCTTCTCAGGGGGATGACTCTGTTGCGGGAGATTCAATTCACAGCCTTAAAAAGGTTACTATCTATTCTTGACTAAATGCAGAATACAGAGAAATTTAGTTACAAAAACATCAAGATGCAGAGGAAACTAGTGAGCAGCTGTGGAGATTTAGTCACACCAGACAACATATATTGGGGTAGAAATGAGCATGGTAGGGAATTACTGAAACTTTATTAGCCATTGCTTTCTTTAAAACAATAAACTTTCTTACTCCAGGCTGCACAGTCTACCCTTCCTGTGAGCATTGCTGTCCTGGCCTCTGACATGACTTGTTCTTGAAGTAAGTAACTTTGCTCCATCAGGGAGGGCACTTCTTCAGACAACCACTTCTTCTGTGACCAAGTTTTTGAGTGAGGTGGTTAGTCACAGCCTCTTGTTTCATAATTCAACCTAAAAAACAAAAACAAAAACAAAAACAAACCAGCAAACAGTAAGATATTCTGCCAATGAGAATGCTTTAACACTGAAATTACCTCAAGTAGGAGAACTGGACAAGCCACAGGAAAAGCCCCTGGGGGCCCACACTCACTTTTGGAACAAGTATTACACAGTTTGAACTTAAATTCTTTCCTGCCTGGTATTGAAAAAGCATCTATAAAGCACAATTTTATTAGCAGTCTTCAGAAAAAGATATACTACCCCATAGTTTTGTTTTTTATTTAAAGATATGAAACAATATAAAGCCTATAGAAAGCTGTAGTACAAAGACCACACAG